AGGAGGGGGAGGAGGAGGGGACCCCCGATCCCCCCCCGGCCCCGCCTGGACCCTGGTGGACTGCCCTGGGACCCTCCCCCCGACCCCCTCTCCACCATGTCACACACCCCTTCCCCCCTGGCAGGGAAGGGATACAGGGAAGGGGCTTCTCTTCGACTAATCTACGACGTTCGGTTCCCCTTGTTCCTCGCTCTCCTTGGGGCTGGCGACGACGACGGCAGCGTCGTCCACACGCCGAGGGTCGGGGGATTTCTCTCAATTGGCAAGTTCATCCCACACACGAACAGGGGCATTCCGATGCACGGCATGACCAGGCAGTACCCGAAGAAGTTCCAGCCAAGTCCAAGCCGCAGCCATATCTGCCACGCAGCATGCCGATGCCCTCATCACTCGGAGCGCTGCACATCCAAGCCATCAGCCCACCATGGCACCGCCAGCACCACCCAAGCTGACCGTGGCATCCACTGGTTCCAGAATATCCACCATGCTTCCCAGCACGCCAATCATAGGCGCCTTCGACCGGAGACCACATCGACGGCGGTAACCAGTCGCAGCGGGTAGAGGAAGAGATGGACAGAGAGGGGTGAGAAGGATAGAGGACGACGAGGATAAGAACTTGGACGAGGACGAGGATGACAACGGCAGCGGCGAGGGCGACGACGACGCCACGCCCTCCCCTGCGAGGGAGTCGCCCACTACCCTCGGCGGAGCCCCCTCCAGCGTGCCCCCCGCGCCGGGATCTGTGGCGGCCGCCGCCCTCGGCAGCCTCTCGGGCCCCGTGATGGCCGGCGCCGGCGCCGGCGCCCGGCCACCGCCCGGCGCGCCCGTGCAGCCGGCAGCTGCCGAGCCGGTGGCGCCCCCCGCGCCCGCGCCCGCCCTTGGCCACCCCGGGGCGCTGGCCAGCCCAGCCACCCTCGCGGCGGCGCCCGCCCACAGCTACACGGGGCCCCTGGCCTCGACGCTGCCCAGCGCCGCGGCCTCGCCCGCCCACGGCCCCGCGCCGCCGCAGGCCCACGGCCACGGCAGCGGCGGGGCCTCGGCTCCCGAGGCCCGCGGCCGCGGGCCGGCGCCTGGCACCGCGGGGGCGCCGCCGAGGGGGCGGAGCCCGGGGAGCCGCGCCCGGAGCTCCCTGGACGACCTCATGGTGCGCTTCGGGACCGCCATCCGCACCACCATGCTGCGGGAGCGGCTGCCCGACAGCGGCCGCCAGGAGGAGTCCGACTCGGAGGGCGACGCGACGCCCTCGGTGGCCTCGACGCAGGGCTCCGCCGCGGCGTCGAGGGCGGCGGGCGCCGCCCACGCCTCCGCGCACGCCTCCGCGGGCGCGGGGGCGGGCAGCGCTGCGCACGTCTCCGCGCCGCCCGTGGGCGCAGCCAAGCCCTCCCCAGGCTTGGACACCTCCACGTGGACGGCTCCTGGCTCCACAGGCCCCCTGGCGCCCTCTGTTGCTGGAGGCGCTGCCGCTCAGCGCGCGGCTTCGCCCCTCCGGTCGGCTTCGCCACTGGCTTCGCCCCTCCGGTCAGCTTCGCCTTTCCGGACAGCTTCAACGGGCTACGGCGACGGCTTGCCGAGCTCACCAGAGTTCGGCGATCAGGGACACCACCTGCGGAAGCAGCTCATCGAGACCTCCAAGGTCTCCCTGGAGACGGAGGCGCAGCACGAGGATAGGGAGCCACCTGCGAACCCTACCCCTACCCCCCATGATTTCTGAGGGGGAGGATGGGGTTCACTTCGTTCGGGAGCTCCTGAGCGAAGTGACCCCCCCCCAGAAATCGTGGGGGGTAGGGTAGGGTTCGCAGGTGGTCCCTAGAGGAGGAGCTTGTGCTCTTGGAGCAGAGGCAGCAGTGCCAGGTCATACAGGCGGCGGCGGAGGCCCGGAAGGCGCAGGCGATCGGCGAGATCGAGCTGCACGCCAGGCAGCAGGAGCTCCTGGCCGGCCAGGCGTTCCAGGAGAAGCTGTCCGCAATACGGTCCCGATTCGAGCACCGGCGGTTCGTGCTGCAGCAGCAGATGAACGAGGTTGACAGAGAGTACTACCAGGAGCGGGCCATGGACACGGAGCACTACCTCAACCTTCAGGCGTTGGACCGCCAGTACCAGCTCGGCAAGGCGCGTCTCTGCCTGTCCGCTGTCGTTGTCGTCGTCGTCGTCCTCCTCCTCCTCCTCCTCCTCCTCCTCCTCCTCCTCCTCCTCCCCTTCGTTGTCGTCTTCCTCCCCCCCCCAGTCCTTCCCTTGTCCCTCCTCGTTCTCCTCCGCCCTCGCTGCCTGGAGTGGACACTGCGGATGTGGTTTTTGCTCTGTTGTCTGTGTGTCGGTACTTCAAGTTGCTGAGCAGCTTGCTTGGTTTTCTCTTAACTTTCCCAAGGGTGTTGTGGTGTTTAACGGCCTCAGTCGTGGCGAGTCGACCGCCTTCTTCTCCAGCAGGGGCGTCTTCCCCTTGAGATTGTTCTAAGCTCCTCTGGTAAGTATCTTGCGATCTGGGTTGGCAAATATTCGGATACCCGAAGTTGGGGAATGCTAGCATACAAAGCACTTCGCCGAGCACGCGAATGCAAAGTGCTGGAGCTGGGGCTGTACAAAACCATTCACAAGTGTAACGTCTACGCCTTCTCGTTCCTGGGCTATGCGGCCCAGTTTTCTTGCTCCGCCCAAGTGCGCACGTTTGCAGTAAGATCGAGCTCTCCAAAGCCTGACGGATGCACCTCGGAATGCAATCTTCTGTGAGCTGTTATCTGATCTCTTGAGTGGTGGTATCGACCCGACATCTTCCCTGCATGGCGAGAGCTGCCAATAGAGCCGCCCTCCAATCCAGTGCCTTCGAGGGCGCCAGAAGTCTCCTGGACTCGTCTGAAGGCGAAGACGATCGTGCTATCCTCTGGAACAGGAGCCCCTGGTATGCTCAAACCTTGGCTGTTCCTCTGGCCCTTCTTGTGCAACCAGGCGCTTCTGGGGCCAAAAAAGTGGCTGGCTTTCTTACCTAGCGTTTCTTCTGGTCCTGCCTCGACTGTGTGCTACTGCGCGCTCTGAGTGCGCTGCGGGCCCGAGCTGAACATGTTCAATGCAGTGTGTTTCATATGCTTCTGGTGTGTGCCCCCCCCCCCCCCCCTCTGTGGCGTTTCCACTGGTTTCCGACCTGTTTGTGCTGCATCGGCTCACTGTCGATGTGCAAGCTTGGTGGTTGAAGCAGAGTGGTGTGCAAGCTATGTGGTGGAAGCAAGGTGACACAGTCTATGCGGTGCTCACCATCTAGTAGATTCTGTGTGGTGCAAGTTTTGTGGTGGAATTTGTATGGTTCCCCAGAAATGCTGGGGACATGGTTAAGAAGTACGCCGGTCCTGATTCACACTTACGCGGCAATATTTCCGATTGCAGAGAGCATACATAATCAGAACGAAGGTGATGCACAACGGGAACTTTGCGGGCATCTCCGCGTTGAGTTCTTCCCGGCTATTTTGTTCAAAGGCGACTGAGGGATTGTCAATGGCAGGGCATTTGCATTCTATTTCTTTCTACCAGCGGTTGGTTAGTCGGTTTTTTTTAGTGATCGTTCTGCGCTTACTCTCAACTGCTCCTTTGCGCGGTCGACCAGGAACTCACGCGTAAAATTGCTGAATCGTGCATCCAAGCGGGGAGTGGATGATTCCTCCGTCCTTTCGGGGAAACGTAGGACTCGCCTTCGCCAGAACTCAGGTTTTCTCATGCTTTTCGACGATCCCGTAATGAAAACAAGTGACGGAACAGTTTTCGCGGGACGTCTGCAGCGGGAGCCCGTGCCAAATTTCAGACCGGGTCTCGTCATTCTTCTGATGGCCCCGTCAGGCCTACTCGAGTCCCCCAAGCTCGAGTCTTACGCCTCCCCTATCCTCCCCTCCCCCGAACAAGAGAGAGGGCAGCGAGGCACCGAAAGCTTTTTCGCAACTGCGTGTGAGAGAGCTACTGTTTGCTGCTGGTCTTGGGATCCAGCTCTGGGCGTTTGTGCACCCTCACGCCTAGCAAACTCGTGGCCTTAAGGCTCCCCTATCCTCAGGCCGGCCACAACTGGGGAAGCTGTGTTCCTTACCCCCCTGGGGGGCCCATCGATTTCGGCACCCCTCTCGAGAGATCGTCGATGCGATGGGTTCCCCAGTTATGGCTGGTCGGTATCCTCCCCTCCCCCAGTTATGGCCACAGCTCCCCCAGTTATGCCTGGTCGGTATCCTCCCCTCCCTCCTCCTCGGCACGGAACCGCTTTGCCCGTCTCGCTGCGCCCGAGGCTCCCTTACCGCCGCGGCCCGCCTCTCCCGGTCGAGCGGCGGGTCCACGGCTGACGGGCGGGTCGGGCGGGCGGACCCGATGGGCGGGCCAGGCCGGGCTGGCGGGTGGAACCTGGCGGGCGGATTGGGCGGGCTGATGGGGCGGAACCTCCTCCTCCCCCTCCTCCTCCTCCTCCTTCTCCTCCTCCTCCTCCCCCTCCTCCTCCTCCTCCTCCTCCTCCTCCTCCTCCTCCTCCTCCTCCTCCTCATCCTCCAGCGGACGGGCGCGTTGAGCCAGGCAAAGCGAAACCTGGGGGGAGCCAGGGCGGGTCGAAGCGAGACCCCGACGGCGCGACGCGGGCGGGAGGCGAAGCGAGGCCCTCGCCCCCCCCCCCCCCGTGGAGAGGCCGCGCGGTCCAGGACGCCGTCGCCCCCGCACGCTGCGGTTGCGCCGCCCGGCGAGCCCGTGCGCGGGAGGGGTGGCTCAGGACGACGGAGAGGAGGGAGGACGCAGGGTGAGGAGGAGGAGGAGGAGGAGGAGCAGGAGGAGGAAGATGATGAGGAGGAGGAGGAGAAGGAGGAGGGCGAGGACGAGAGGAGGAGGAGGAGGTGGAAGTGAAATGTGGAATATGGATGATACGCTGATGACGGATATGATGTAGTTGACGATGGTGATAGTGATGATAAGGATGTTGGTGATGACGATGCTGATGATGATGGTGATGCTGATGACTCCGATGATGCTGCTGCTGATGATAATGATACTGAGGGTGATGATGATGTGGATGATGATGATGCCGATGATGCTGCTGCTGATGTTGATCATGAGGATGCATGCTAATGCTGCTGATGATGGTCTGGGTGATGATGATGATGCTGCTGATGATGATGATCAGGATGTTGGTGATGATACTGCTGCTGCTGCTGCTGATGATGATGATGATGATGGTGGTGATCATAACGATGCCGATGATGATGCTGCTGCTGATGATGCTGATCATGATGATGCATGATGCCGATGCCGCTGATGATGATGGCATGGATCATGATGATAATGATGATGTTGATGATGATGATTGTGATGGTGATGGTGATGGTGATGGAGATGGTGGTACTGATGATGCTGGTGCTGGTGATGATGCTGATGATGATGCTGCTGATGATGACGAGGATGCTGGTTGCATGGATGATGATACTGATGATGATGATGATGATGATGATGATGATGATGATGGCCGTGCTGCTGCTGACGATGGTGACGATGACGATGCTGATGGTGATGACGATGATGTTGTTCAGCTCTATCTGCGGAATGTCTGTTGCTGTTTATTGGCTTGCATGAAAGCAACGCCCCCCCCCCACAGGAGAAACGACCGCTTGAGTTGCTGGTATGGGTGTACACGTTTGGAGTGTCACTTAAGAGATTCAGAGCGAGCAGTCTTCGATGTATGGTTATCGTTAACGACGGGGATGATGACGCATAATATGAAAGTGCTGAGTATACGATGACAGCAATGGTGATGGCAAGACGGATGTTGACGGTGGAGCTGATAATGCTCAGTGTGATATCAATGATGGTGAAGTTGATGTAGATGCCGATGACGATGACGATGAAGATGCTGATGACGATGACGATGATTATGCTGACGATGATGATGACGCTGATGCTGACGATGACCATGATCCTGATGAATATGCTGATGATGATTTTTGATAATGATGATGACGACGATGCTGATGATGCTGATGATGATGAGGTTTATGATGATGGCGATGATGACCATGCTGATGCTGACTATGATGATGATGATGATGATGATGATGATGATGTTGGAGACGATGATAATGACGATGATGATGACCATGATGACGCTGACGACTATTATGACGACGATGATGCTGATGATTCTGATGATTACGATGATGACGATGCTGGTACTGACGATGATGATGATGAGGATGATGACGATACTGATGATGGTGATGATGATGAGCGATACACATTGTGATGATGATGCTGATGATTGATGATGATGCTGATGATGGTATGGATGACGATGATGATGATGATGATGCTGATGATGCTGGTTCTTCATGATTATGATGGTGATGATGCTAATGCTGATGGTAAAGACGATGCTGATGATGATGATGATGATGATGATGATGATGATGATGATGATGATGATGAGGCCGACGATGATGATGCTGCTGATGCTGGTATGGATGATGATGACAATGATGATGCTGATAGTGGTGATGGCGGTGTTGACTATGACGATGACGATGATGATGTCGACTATGATGCTGATGATGAGAATGATGAGGCTGATGATGACGATGATGATGATGGTGATGATGATGATGATGATGGTGATAATGATGCTGCTGATGGCTGTGCCTCTGCTGGCGATGATGACGACAATGACGATGTTGATGCTGACGATGAGGATGATGAGGGTGACGAGGACGGTGATGACGACGATGATGATGGTTGTGATGATGATGCTGATGATGATGACGATGATGATGCCGATCATGATGATACTGATGATGATGATGCTGATGATGATGTTTATGAGCATAATGACGACGATAGTGATGATGACGATGATGATGAGGAGGACGATAATGATGATTGTAATGGTGACGCTGATGCGGATGATGATGATAATGATCATGTTGACGATAGTGATGATCGTCATGATGATGACGATGATGATGATTGGTAATGGTTGATGATGATGATGATGTTGATGATGACCATGGTGATGATGATAATGATGATGCTGATGATTCTGACGATGATGACGATTCTGATGAGCATGAGGATGAGAATGAGGATGAGGATTAGGATGACGACGCTGATAATGATGATGATTGTGATGCCGGTACTGATGATGGTGATGATGATGCCCATGCTGATGATGATGATGATGCTATGATGATGATGATGATGATGATGATGATGATGATGATGATGATGATGATGATGTTCCTGATGATGATTCTGATGAGGATGATGATGTTGATGCTGGTGTTGATGATGATAATGATGATGGTGATGATTAGGACGATGATGATGATCATCATGATGAGGCCAACGATGACGATGATGCTGCTGATGATGGTATGTATGATGATGACGATGATGATGCTGATAGTGGTGATGGCGGTGTTGACGATGACGATGGCGACGACTATGATGCTGATGATGACGATGATGATGGTGATGATGTTGCTGATTGCTGTGCCTCTGCTGACGATGATGACGATTATGATGCTGATGATGATGACGATGATGATGATGATGATGATAATGATGATGATGATGACGAGGACGAGGATGATGACGATGATGATGATGCTGATCATGATGATGCTGATTAGGATGATGCTGATTCTGACGATGATGATGCCGGTAATGATGCTGATGACGACGATAACGATGATGATGGTGATAAAGAGGACGAACATGATGGAGGTGAATATGACGTTGATGATGAGTATGATAATGGTCATGATGACGATAATGATGATGGTGATGATGATGATGATGATGACTGATAATAATGACGATGATGATGCTGATGATGATGATGATTATCATGATGACCATGGCGATGATGATGATGATGATGATGATGATGATGATGACGATGATGCAGTCGATGATGCTGGTTATGATGATGATGATGATGATGATGATGATGATGATGATGATGATGATGATGATGATGATGATGATGATGATGATGATGATGATTCTGTGGATGACGATGCTGATGATGATGAGGATGAGGATTCGGAGGAGGATGAGGATGGTATAGTTGCGTTTAATTTGAATCTGATGTCGATGATGAACATGAAGGAGGAGAGAGGAGGAAGGGAGGCTCCTCCCCTCCCTTTCCCCCCGCCGCCTCCTCACCCCTCCCTCGTCCTCAACCTCCTTCCCCTCCCTCCGCCTCCGCTCCCTAGTCTTTCGTCTTTCTTCGTCTCTCCTTCCCCTCCTCTCCGCTCGAGGTGCATACCTCAAGGTGAATAACCTCAGGTGCATACCCACAGGTGCATACCGATCCCCAAGCTTTAATCTGCCCAGTCGTACTCCGACTGTGTTCGCCAACATGCTTGAGAAACATATATTTCATGAGGGGAAAACGCATAGACACAATTAATCGTCGATTCCCCAGAAAATATGGGAAAATATGGGAAGTGGGGGGGGAAGACAAAAACCCGGAAAATATGGTAAAATCTAGGGGATCCTGTTATTTGTGTCTATTTATTAGTGTGTCCCAGGGCCCCTTCAGTATTCTCTTAACCTGAGCCGCGGCGCTCAGCATTGAAACCATCCGACAAATTGGCTCGCGCTGGAAGCTCGCCGCTCAAGTTCGACGAATAAGATACAGGCTCAGGTCAGGTATGAAGCAGGCAAGAGCAGCCCAGCGAGGGGACCAACGTTGTTCCTGGCGCAGCCGTACCGACATCACGGCGATCAAGGCATCTGGGATCTCGCGAGAGGACCTTAACACAGCAATCAACCCTTTCAACACATCCATCTACGACCTTGCCAAACGTGTTCAGCATTGGAAACCTCGCCCTGGCCGTCATCAGCAACATCCGCACTGACAAGATATTATGACCGACGCCCTGCTACTGCAGCTGGAGGTGGGCATCGAAACAATGAATCAGCAGCGAGCTACGCCAGCGCGTCCGACAACACCTGCAACCCAAGGCACCGACAACATCACAGACCAGAGGGACATCACTGCTGTCATCGGCAACATCGCCGACTTCGACATCTTGGAGTCGTGGACGGTTGGATCAAACACGCACTAACTCGTCTAGGCGCGCCAATGCCGACCAACATCTGTTGCAAGACAGGTTCGCCAATCAGAGCTTGCTTCTGTAGGGGTCCTAACGGATTCATATGATTAAGTTAGGTGTGCCGCCGATTCCAATGGCCGAGCTGGGTGCCCCGGGGTTCCCGGGAGCCCGGGGGTGCCCGGGTGCCCGGGTGCCCGGCGCCCGGGTGCCTGGTAGCCCTATAGCCTTATAGCCCTATATCCTCATAGCCCTATACTCCTGTAGCCCTATAGCCCAATAGCCCCATCTATAGCCCTATAGTCTTATAGCCTTCTAGCCCATCGCCCTATAGCCCTATAAGCCTACAGCCCTATAGCCCCATAGCCCTATAGCCCTATAGCCCTATAGCCCTATAGCCCAATAGCCCAATTGCCCTATAGTCCTATAGCCCTATAGCCTTATAGCCCTATAGGCCTACAGTCCTACAGCCCTATAGCCCTATAGCCCTATAGCCCTATAACCCCAGAGCACTATAGCCCTATAATCTTATAGCCCTATAGCCCTATAGCCTTACATGCCTGTCACCCTATAGCCCCACAGCCCCATAGCCTTATAGCCCTATAGCCCCAATAGCCCCATAGCCCTATAGCCCTGA